GGGGACGGTGATCTTTCTAATTAGAGTGGCTCCAAGAGCCACTCTAAAGTGCCTGCAGTGTCTCATATATCAGTGTCCCCCACACTTCAAAATGGCGGGGTGGGGACTTCCCCCAACTAAAAGCTTGATGGTCTTTAGTTAAAGCACCCCCACTGCCATTTTGAAGTGGGGGGATGCTGACACACGAGATACAGAGGCTGGCTGGAGTGTGCTAACTGGCACGCTCCACCAGACTCAATTAAACTAGTCTGCTCTGATGCACTGTACTTACAGCACATCGGAACAGCCTCCAGGGACGTCTACAAGCACCCAAGGTGCTTTGCATAATAAAGCCTTCTTGTGAGAGTCTATTGGGTTTTAGCTGCTTTGAATTAAAAAAAAAAAAAAAATCCAACACTGAATCCATCTCACTCAGTGACACAACCTTGAGTTTCTACACTGTTCTTTTACGAGAGAGAAGAAAAAAAGGCAGGAGAGAATCAAAAACAAGTCCATAATATGACATGTAATTTTGGAATGAAAGTAACCAGAGGGCAATTGGACACACGTTTGCGCCACATCTCTGGGCGCTTTTAAAAAGTGCCCAGCGCTTGCATTTGTATAAATGGAGAAATGCGCATCAGTGCTGAGAAAATGGCAGCGGCATGCTTTTGAACTAAAATGCATCGAATCTGCTCCGATGTGTCGCAGTGCAAAAAGGTATGTGTATAAATGCCCTTAAGTTTTAACTAAAAATTTAAGTTTACCTTCAATTTGCATTTAGAAATCATATCATCACGCACCTTCACAATTTGCTGTGCTCTTTCAGACAGTTTCACATCACTATCTTCAACCTGCAGTTAAAAATATTTTCCATTTATGCTCACTTCAGATTAACTGGTTTGCTTTTAAAATCGCTTCAATAAAAATAATTGCTTGACATTCATGATAAACATGTGTTCCTTATGCAGCTTTAAATGACAATACTAGGTGACAAGGTGTATTTAAACTGTAAAGCTAGATTTAGTTCTTTAAGACCCTTTTGCATCCTTGCAATTCTGTGCTGCTACAGAGACCAAAATGGCCCCAAATATAACCCTAACATGTATATTAAAGCAGCCTTTAAAAATAGGAGGATAGGGAAAAACTCCCTTCATCTGATTTTTATTGAGGGTCTTATAGCACCTGGTGTTAAAAACTGTACGAGTTTCGTTAAATATTATAAAGGGCTTTGAAACCAGAAAAAAAAAAAAAATGATCAGGCTTACATAGTCAGATAACACCTGCACAGTGACAACAACCGCACTTAAAGCTGACATAAAGTAACTGGAACTCCTACTTCTCTATGACTCTTTGATAAGCCTGCTTTCAGAGAGTTTATATTAGCATCGCTTACCAATAAGTTTAATTAAACACAGAATTGCGGAATACCATTTTAATATTTAGTTTAGTAATATCAGTGGTTTTTACTCATACATCTTAACAGATTTCTTTTCCCAGTGGTTTGCGTCTATACAAAATGACTTGGAATATTTAGGATGTATTATACTAACCAACCAAGAAGCATATCTTGGGATTGCTGCAGTCAAAATGATGTAGTTGGTTTCTGTATTAATACTGCCATCTGCAGGAAAGCAAATGAAAAATCAGAATAAAAACCACGCGTCTATATTGTGCACATATTTTATTTAATAAGTTTAATTGCTTTTTTGGTCTACACTTTTGCTGATACTGAGGTTTACAAGTTGCTGTTAACTTTACTTATACAATAATCAATCCCCAAAAATAAGGGTTTTCTTACACTTAATTTCTTAAGACAGAAATATCCCATCTTTTTTATACTGTAACAAACCCATGATAAATACTACAGGTTTCCCTTGCTGTATGCGGGCTCTGTATGTGCGAATTCGCTCTTATGCGATGACCCTTTTTATACCAGAAATTAGTTACATGCAAGGTAATTTAACTCTTATGGGATCGGTGTGGTAGAAACCTGCAGTCAGCTGCTTTGTGAGGTACGTTGTGGGTGCATGCACACCGCCCCAGCAGGTAAGTCTGTGGGGGAGGGCGAAGGGGCAGATTGAGGCCACTGCGGCGAGGGAGGGAGCGGGGCACAGGCAGCGGCAGGAACTACAGGGAGTGGGTCCACAGCCGGGCCGGGTGATAGGACAATTGGAGCCCGAGCGACTTGTCCAGAGTGCAGGGGGCTCCCCCACCCCGGCACCACTGCTGCATGTGAGGGGCGGCATGTGGGCAACACCACTGTGAAGCTCCCAGCCCAGGGACAGCCCTGGTCCTGGCTCCTCCGCAGCACCGGCCCCTGTACACCAGCCCAGTCCCATCAGTGCCCCGGAGGCTGAGAGCCATGAAGCCACCTGGCAGCAGTGCCTGCAGCTACTGCTCAGAGCAGCTGGTGCCCGTGTTTCTGGAGCTGCAGCTACCCCAGAAGGGGTGCAGGTGTTAGTACAGTCAAGGTCTTGGAACATATCCCTATGTGTTACAGTGGAAAGCAGGTTCCTTTTATGCTAATTTGAGTTATGCGCTGTTTTCCAGGAATGCATGTACAACATAAAGCGAGGGAAACCTATATAAATTCAGCACAACAGTAATGAGCAGCCCAGTTTCTCTCTAGGCTTTCTTCCATGCCTGTGTCTCTCTCCTCTTCAGCTGCTGATTCTC